ATACTAGTAAAGGTAAAAATGTAGATATTAATCTTTCTGAAAATATTTTTCAACATTAAGACCACTCTCAACATGGTTTTCTGGTCCTGTACTGCACATTCTTATGCTTTTCACAATAACGACCACTGTAAATTGATTGCCAAGCAGCCCCAGTTTGATTTCTTGAATTTAAGATTTCACAACAAATAGTTTAAAGAAAAGCACAATCATTCTTCTTTTGTAACTCATAAGGAAACGTGTCAACGCTCCAGTTATTTGGAAGTTGTATTGCGCAGTGGCTGGAGGTCACACACCTGTCTCTCTGCACAGACGCCTTCCTCCACACCTTCCCTTCCTGCCTCGGGTTCACCAGTTTATTAAAGATGCATAAAACAAACCATGTTTGGACTGTGTGACGGTACGTTATAGGCTGTTCATTAAAAGAAGAATCAATAGACCACTACATGTGATGTATGTGGCGTTCATTTGATTTCATGTAGTACACTGCGTTTTAGTCCAGCTAATCACGTGCACTGATGAACGTGCACTAGTTTACTTCACATTCAACATCGCGCCTGGTTCCGTACTAACTAACTAAACTATTGTTACCTTGTTGACCAACTAGAGCCAGGTCTCCCCTCTGTCGCCCTCATGTGTCCTCACCCCTTCCCTGTCTCGGCCTCCTCTAGTTTCCTTATGTCCGTCTTCAGGAGCCAGGTGTGTGACATCATCTCTACTATTCAAAACCTAACTTAGTCCCCCCATCACATACAGTCCCTTCCTTCCTTTTGTTTCACGCGCCAGTGCATGGATTGCTGCGTGCGCGACGTCCATACGTGCGCACCGTAGTGTGACTGCGCATCAGCCTGACATCGTGGATTAGAGCAGTAAGTCAAATCTTTTCTCTTCTTGTTATTAATCTAAACGGATCCACTGCCAACGGGGGGGCCTTTTTACTGGGGCACAGCAGGTCAGTACTGGGCCACGTGACCCAGTAAGACGGGTCTAAGGACGCCTGTGGTCCTGGCCCAGCTCTGATCACATTAATAACTGAGTCCTCTGAGACACATTTGTGATGATAAAACTGTTCCTCTTTGAGTTTTACTCAAATCCTTGTGGGTTTGTTGTTTCATTACAAACATTGCTAGAAATGACAGCAACGCGGAATAAAGGCAGTGACCTTTAGACCCCTTTTATCTGCTTCTGAAGACGCGGACGTTCACGGCATCACGATGCACAGTGTACACGCACACGCGTGAAAAATGTGGCCTCCTCAGGATAAGTCGGGCTGAAACGAGATGTTTGGTGGAAAACATCCGACCTGGCCATAAATACGTAAACTGGAAGTTGTGGTCTAAATGAAACATAGTGAAATTAAATGTTCGACAAAATTCAAAGCAGCGTTTTTAACAGAGGAGGAGAAAATCCAAGGGGGTGTAACTGTGACTGTCGGGGATTTGTCCTGAAAGAATGGCCCCTCATTTGGAAACCAGATTGCGCCTCCTCCTGCTCTTTACCCCTCGCCTGCCCCCATCACCCCAGCCCTCCACCCCTCCCCCTCTGGCACTTCACATTAGACGTCCCTCCTTCACACGGATCCTTTATTCGTCCACTGAAATTGAATTATCAGCTTGTTATTAGTGGCAGAACCTGCAGGGTTACTGTGCTACTGGAGAGGAGGTCAGTGTATCGATCAGGTATTCTCCTATTTTATAAAAGTTGTGAAGACGTTCACTCACCACATCTTCATCTGGGAGGAGACACACCTCCTCCTCTTCTCATTTTTCTTCTTTTCACATATTTTCTCCCATTTTGTAGAAAACATGTTCTTTTCCTGTCTTTTCTTCTCCACCTCTTCCTCATCATCACTTTTCATTTTTCTTGCCCTTTTTCTCCTAATCTTTCAACCCTTCTCCACTCTCCTTCTTTCTTCTCTCTTCTTTCATCTTTGTTGCTGAAAGGAAATGTATCATTTCTTCATGTCTCCCCCTTTCTGCTTTCTCTCATCTTTTCCTTTTTGGCTGCTCTTCTCCTGCTGTTTTTATTCTCTGCCTGGTAAACCACCCTCTCCTCTTCTTCAGTGTAAAATGATTTCATCTCCATCCTCTCTTTTCTCCTCCTTCTCTTTCCTTCCACCTCTCGTTGTTTTGCAGACCGGGCTCGGTCCACCCCTCGGAGCCTCGGAGGCCTGCATCCCCAGAAGACTGGCGTGCTGTCTCTCTTCCTGCCTGACAGTCGCATTGCCTCAGTGTCTTCAGTCTGTGAAAATAAAAACAGGAGGATGATGCTGAACAGCACATGCATGTTTGTTTCAGTTTCTGGATGTCAAAGCCACAGTGAGTGTGTTCAGATGTCGGGGTTCCACCTGCCGAGTCAGGTTTTAGAGAATAAAGATCTGAACATGGAAAAGCATTCTCACTGGTGCAGGTCTGGTTTAGGACTGGCTCAGGTTTGGCAGCTGAAGAACTTGGGAAACGATTTGATCATAGTTTAGTCCTGCATTTGCTCTGAACACTGGACAGAAATAAAACAAAGACTGGGATGGAAAGAGCCGTTCCAGGAGCTGCAGCTGGATCACGGACACCGAGCACTTGTCACATGTTTCACAGCCCCTTTGTTTTGGTGCTCTGTCTGTCGTTCTGTGCAACATGAGAAGCTAGCGGAGTGTGAACAGACCAGTGACTCTGTCTTCCCTTGTGTTCTCAGCCTGTGGAGCCGTTTGTTGGAAACAGACGGCCTGCTGTGTTCCCTGAGGAGGAAACCTGCCCCCAGTGCAGCGGTGTGGCTCACTGGGAAGGTCTAATAGCTGGTGGACAACAGTGGAGGTCTATGGCCCAGAGCGATAAACCAGGGTTTGGACTGTCACACATTACGGTGAGGACACCACGTTCGCTGGTGCTGCTGGTCTCTGGACAGGGTTTGTGGGAATGACACACAGAGAAAATCACCGGCACCTCCTTCAGTGGAGTTGGGACTTCACTTGCACTGATGTTCAGTTCATGGACTTTGTCTCCTCTGCAGTCCAGGTCTCTGGATCGCTCACCGCCTTCCCACCAGTGCAACCTGTACTGTGTTGTGTATGTTAACATCTTTCACCAGGAGCAGGTCCTGAGTCCAGACCAGAACCCAGACCAGTTCAGAGTCTTCATTCTGCTGGTGAGAGAGGGAAGGGAAATGCCTGCACTGGGCTCCCTCTCTTTCTCTGGTTGGCTGGTTCCAGCTCCCTCCCCCTCCCTCTCTCCTTCTCTCTCTCTCTCACCTCTCCTCTCCTTATTTAGGCTGGCCCCACCCCCACTGTGATGTCATGGGCTCGGAGGAAGACCCGTGGGGTTTTTGGGTTTTGGCGTCCAGTCCTGTGGGGCCGCAGGGCTGAGAGTTTCTCCTCCGCTCCTCATCCCTCCATCAGGCCTGCCTCTCCTCCTCTCTTTGGGGAAAAAGAAAAAAGACCCTTTGCTCGATTCGCCGTCCGGTCCAGGCTCTGGTTTTTCCCTCATTTTGTCGTCCTCTGAGGATTTTATTTCTCTTTTCCCTTTTTCTCCTCCTCCTGCTTCCCGTCTTTCAGCTAGGTTTCACCATGATGGCCAAGATTTTTAAAAAATAGCTTTAAAAATTTGCAGAAAGGATTTTTTTTTTGTCCAGAGTGAAAAGTTGAATTAAATCTGAAAAACAGACAAAGTTCCTCAGAAGAATAAAACGGCTGGTCCATTTCTTTCTGGACAAATCTTTTCTTCTTCTTCTCTTTTTCTTTGGCCTCTTCTTATTTCCTCCTTGCCGGCTGCTTTTGGACTTTGAGGTTTGTGAACAAAACATCAGCAAACCAGAAGCTTGACCCTCCGTTTGTCCTGAAGAGCTATTTTTTTTCTGCTTGACTTTTTTTTCCTGTAGATTTCTTCTTCTTCTTGTGTTTTCCTCGTGTTGTTTTGTTTTTGTGGTCGTGCAGTGGCGGCAGTTGGTGTTGGGGCCCTGTTGGGAACCCAGGCAACCCTGCCCCGTGGGGCCCGGCCCAGCATGAAGGAGGAGCCGCTGGCTGTTCGCTCCTGGATGCACTCGGCCGGCGTGGTGGACGCCAACACGGCCGCTCAGAGGTAAATTCACCGCCACTCTCTGCTGCCCCAGAGGGATTCTGGGAGCTGTAGTCCCAGTGGACATACGGGAAGATTTATCTGGGCAGGAGAACGCTTTAAATGTGCAATATTGCTGCTGTGCTGTCTGAGGGTGAAGCTGCAGCGCAGAAGTAATTGCACTGTTCTTCAGTCTGTCAGGTTGTTTCTCAGGATATTCCTGCTTTTTTTAGGTTGAACACTTAATCGGTCATGACATGAATTCCTGCAGCTCAGAATAAATTCCTCTGATTAATAAGAAATATCAGATTGATCTGGTAATTAGTCATATTTTAGTTGAACATTCTGCAGCTCAGAGGAAAAGTGATTAGACAACAAGTGAGGTTAGTGAAAACTCGACATGGTGTTAGATGAAGGTCAAATGTGACTAAAAGCTGCTTTCAGGATGTTTGTTAGGAGGAATGGAAAAATGGTTTCCAGGTTTTCTCACGTTTCTGATCCTCCAGCTCAAAGAAAAACATGTTTGACTCATTTACAAAAAATGTCTAAAAATAAGAAAAATGACCTTAGATAATATTTGTAATTTAACAAGACATTAGAAGCAGTGGAAACCTCGGGCTAGTCAGAGAAATCACAACATCACTGATAAAATAATATATTTCCTCTCACCATGAAGGGCTCATCATTTCAACGTTTATCTGAACCATAATTCTCAGTTATTATACGTCCGGTCTCAGTGGGGCTGAAGGTCAAAAATCAAGTCAGTATCTGACCTGAAGCATAAATTAAAAAGATGAACGAGTCGACCAGAGGAGACGGTTTCATTTAAACTGGGTTTTACTTGTGAACCCTCAAAGTTCAAACTGCGGCTCAGGGGAAGATGTTTTCTCCACAGTCAATCAGGACAATTCTCAGTTTCACCGACTGAACTCTTAACCTTTGTCATTTGTTAGTGGCATATTTTTAAAAAAACTGTTTTAAATGAGGGTCAAAGCTGCAGTGGGAGTACAGAATAAACACATGAGCAGAGTGATTTCAGCCTGAAGATGTGTTATGTTATTTTATCTTTCTCAAATAACAGTTGAATGTGCCTTAAAACGGCAGCATGGTGGAGCAGAACCACGGCTCCGACCATTGACACCTGTGCAACCCTTAAAGTCCCTGACGTTTGATCCTAATGAAGCAGCAGAGTGAATCAGTGTGAGCACGCAGGAGGCACAATTTTCTAAAATCTAAAACATCATTTCAGATATTTTTTACATTAATTAGACTAAAGTTTAACTGAAATGGAACGGAGCTGATAGAAGGCAGAAAGAGCTGCAGCGTGAAGCCGTTTTCAACTTTGGCCATGTTAAAAAAAATTAATAACAAATATTAATTTAACTCTAAATCCGTTGCATTCAGTAAAGTTTATTTATCTGCTCATGTCAGGGAAAATTATTTTTGACATTTTAACATATTCAACATTTTATTTCCAAGTGTAATAATATTAAAGTAAAACAGAAGTTTTCTCCGAGATGCGTCGGTGTTTGCGTCAGAGCTGCAGATGAAATTGGATTTTCTAACAAACACACAAAGTTATTAATGATTTTCCTATGAATGTTTCAGTGGAGCAGCGATGTAAAATATAGTTCAGAAAAATCTCCAGGTCCCTGTTTCTCTCGCTGCGTCTGGATGGTTTAGATTTCTGTCAGTTTTATAATGTGTGAAGTTGCAATAATTAATTCTAATAAGCTAATTCTCATAAAACAGAGTTTGACGGGATGTGAGAAAATGTGTGAGCCTTTATGTCAGAGCTGCAGATTAAATCTGATGTGTGTGAAATGGTCATTATTAGAAGTTATGAAATCAGAGGATGACCAGGAGAGAGTCAGTCTGCAGAAACATCTGGTCTCCGTTTATCTGCACATGCTCATGTTAGGACACATCTGAACTTAGATATCTGACGTTTTCACCAATGAAACTGACAAAACAGAATAAGAAGCTTTGTATGAAGCAAAGACTAAATGTGGAGCAGCGGGGTGCTAATGTAAAATTCTCCCTGCTGATAAATCAGATTTTAAAAACACAAACACTAGAGCGGCAGATTTTTTTAACAAAGGTAAAATCATCATCAGACAGTTTTAACAGATTTTGAGTTCATGTGATGACTAGACACTGGATGTTTTGGATGAAGTGTATTTTTATCACATGGAAAGCGATTATCATCATGAATAAATGTGAAGACTTCGGCAGAGCGGCCGTGTGCGGGACCGACCCTCAGCTGGTGCACGCACGACCACAGCCTGCTTTATTAACATTCATTAACATTATTAACATTAAACTGTTAATTACAGACAGCGGCTGTCTTCACTCTGCAGCAGATCATTTTTATGATTTAGTGCTTTTCTTATTGTGAGGCTGAGGATGTGTTTCTGTGTGTCGGCCTGAAGATCTTGTTAAAATTCCACAAAATGTAAAAACACAAATATGACAAATATACTTGTGGTTTTACAACGAGGGGGTTGTTTGCAGTCAGGGTCAAAGCTGCAGTTTGACTCCTTGAGTATGAATATTTATAAATGCTGACATGAACATGTGCTTCAGTGTTTGCAGAGAATTTAAAGCCTTTTTCTTTTTTAAACGTTCCCTGCAGTGGTAGCCTGTTGTTATTAACATGATTCATTCATGTGGAGGTTACAGCCCGAAGCCTCGTGTCACATCTCACTGCAGACTCTTGTTTTTTTAAATGAATATTTTAGTTCTCAGATTCTTCACTGAATTATTACCTTTTAATTCACATGCATGTTGTCGTACACGTCGGCAGGGCTGAAGAGGTGTAACTGACATGTTGGGGTTCTTCTTCATTAATCGTGGTGGTTTTTCTCTGCAGATAAAGTTGCTCTTTGTTTAAGGAAACAAATTATTATTATTATTATTTAGCTTTTTATATTTCAGACATGTCAGATACATTCATTTGTTGTTTGTTAAACTGGGATTGGTGATGTGTTTAAGGACAGTTGAACCTTCACTGAGGAGCGTTTCATTCAAACACAAGTTCAGATCAGATAAAGGCTTTTAAATTATTAATGTAAAATTATTTAATTCATCTATTTTTAATCATGGACTTGGCTTTCATCAAGTTCAGTCACTGGGATTTGTGCTGCTTTTAAATTGTTCAGCTCATCCACAGTAAATTCACGTGGCTTTCAGTGGTTTTATGTGCACACACACCTGCGGTTTGAATGCACCAACTGAGCTGTGAGAATAAAATCAAAACTACAAATTTCACAAGTTATTCATTAGTTATTCATGACAGTCACTGAGGTGGGCAACACCAACTCCCAGTGGAATTTTAAAACATTTATTCCCGTGTTAATCTCCAAACTATCACAGAAATAACTTCACCTTAAATCCCCAGAAACATCACAGGTGACGTGACCTCTGTTGTCTGTCTGTCTCTCAGCGGGGTGGGGTTAGCCCGTGCTCACTTTGAGAAGCAGCCTCCGTCCAATCTGAGGAAGTCCAACTTCTTTCACTTCGTGCTGGCGCTGTACGACCGGCAGGGCCAACCAGTCGAGATCGAACGCACCGCCTACGTCGACTTCGTTGAGAAAGAGAAGGTGAGAAACACACAGAGGAAGGAGCCGGGACCCAAACTAAACAAACCCCTCAGTCACAACCAACATGATTTGAACTGAAATAGATACCAAACGCACCTGCAGTTTTGTACACTCTGAAAACGGACTCTTATTTAGGATAAAAAACAAAAGAGAGTAAGAGGGAGGAGCTGAGGAGAAAACCAAACCCACCCCATTCCAGCCCTCTTAACCCCCCACCCCTGCAGGTTAATCCCTGGTTCTCAGGGGTGGTTGCACCCTAAGAAAATAAGTCGTCTGCACTGAACTTGTGTCTTCTTGATACTGATGTCAAATGAGTAGTAGATAAGGACAAAGTCAGGGAGACACAGGGGTAGAAAACAAACACACCTGAGCTAAAAGTCAGAGGCCAGAGCTGGTAAAGCTGTTTGTTCTTTACACAGGTGAGCTCATCAATGAAGGCCCAGACAGGTGTAAGAAAACAAACGCTCCCATACAAAAAAAAAAAAAGCTCATTTAGTTTCTGCTTCAGTTCACTTAGATTTTTGTGTTTGTGTGTTCAGGAGCCGACGGGAGAGAAAACCAACAACGGGATTCACTACAAACTACAGCTGCTCTACAGCAATGGTGGGTATGCTTGTTTTATTACACAGCACAACCCATTTAGTTTTCATGACTGAATGCTCTGGTATTGTTTGACTGAAATATTCTGAAAACACTGAGAAAAGAAAAGAAAAGATGTGTCAACTGTAAATGACAGCAGACATGTTCTTGGTGTGTTCAGGAGTGAGAACGGAGCAGGATCTGTACGTGCGGCTCATCGACTCCATGACCAAACAGGTAAGATGCTGACTGTTGGTTGTCACATTGATTATCAGGTAAAATAACTGCTGGACACACGTGCCAAAATCTATTGGCACTTGCTGGATCACCAACTGTCAGCAGCACAAAAAGGGGGGATTAATAATTTGATAATTAATAATTGAGGAACATTAATGACACTCCAGTTAACAGAGTGGGGAGAGAGAGAAGGTGATCAAGACAGAGATTTCAAAGTAAGACTGTGCTTTTCCTCCTGCAGTCCGAGCTGTCCGGTTCAGGCCGACTTCACTTTGACACCTGAAGGGTTCTCTGACAGTTTTTTGTTTTCCTGATCCGTCAGACCGATCCTCCTGCTTCTGTTCCCTCCTCACACTGAAATCTTTCTGGCACATGGCTCGACATCTTCTCTCACAGAAGCATATTTATTTATCTCTTCACTTAGTGTTGCACTATATTTATTATGACATTAATACACCGAGCCTGATACCATGCTGAAAAATACAAATTGTTGATTAAGAGACAGCGAACACATTAGTACAACACTGCAGTTAATGAATGAAGCAGGTGAATGTTAGCGCCCCCTCCTGTCTGCAGTGTTCATTACAGCTACAGTCAGGACAAACGTTTGTTTCTGACAAAACAGTATGATGGGTCATAAACCATGTCTGAAGGAAAAGGTGGAAAGTCACAGACCCATTGTTGGACGTGTGGGGAAGTCGTCGTGCTTCAGGCCTTTGGGTCCACAGAACAGGGTCGGGATGTGTCAAACCTCTGGGTATTTCCTTGTGAGATGCCTTCTAGTGGACGGTGCCGTCGGTAGAATAACACTCCTCACAAACCAGCCACATCCAGATTAGTTTACCACACAGTCATCTCACTGCAGATTTTTATTACCACTCTAAGTAAAGAGCAGCTGGGTAATTCTTTCAGAGTGATAAAAACAAACCTGTGTAAGTTGATACTAAGGGCAAAGTTCTGTGCCTTTTTGAGAAAGAAATGTAAATGTTGAAAACCTTGTTCTGTGTTGGACGTTTGCCCATAGCGTGGCTCACTCCTCACAAACACAAATTAGAGATTCTTGTGTGTTCATGTTCAGCTGCCTGCTTTAAAATCAGATGAATCCAGATCAGATTACACAGTGCTTTAGAGGAGTTTGCCTGTAAATGGGAACAGAACAGTGGGTGCATGAGTTCAAGTGTGTCCAGCTCCTGTCACAGTTTGAGTTTCAGCCCTGTTACTCTGGCTCTGTCTGTACCTGTTCCAGCTCATGTCCTTGCCTGTCCAGCCTCCAGGTGTCCCCAGACTTTCCCTCTGCCCTGCCCACATGCGCACCGGTTCTTCATTTGCTCATACAATTGATACCAGCAGCTTTTTCAACCACAGTGTTGTAGGAACACTTCCATGTTCTCCTCGCGTGAACCTGTTTGATTTCTGGACTTTGTCTCTTTGGTAGACTGGACGTGGTCTGCATGTGTGCTATGGAAGTTACAGAGATGCAGGCAGGAAACTGGAAAGAAAAGTACAAGTCAGGCCCCATTTGCAGTCGAACCATGGACGTTGTGATTATGTGACACGAGCTGTAAGAATAGGCTCCCAGGGCACTTGACATCAGTTGTTTCTTATTGACAAGTTCCTGCATTTTATAATAAAACTCATAACATCAGTGTGCGCTGTGCATGTGGATTAGTTTGTTCTGCCTGGTGTCGGTCTCTTCTCTGAGTGCAACTGTGAGCAGACCGACTGTCGGT